GACAGCCAAAGTTGAGAAACACTGTTTTAGTCCAATTGCTTAATTTATATGAGACTAATGCAAAATAGTTATTTCTGTACATTTAAATATATTAGACATCATTCGCAAACAGTAAGGGAACTGTGCGTGTGTTGCTGTCTGCATGGGTGTCCAAGCTGAAGCCGTAGGTCTTAACACTTTCTGAATTGCAATGTCCCAGAGCAGCGGTGTGACCCAGTACTTTGTTATCTATCTTGCCACATTTGGTTCCTTGGAGCACCCAAGAACAGAAACGCCCATAACACACGAGCAGCGTGAAAGAGTTTAGAATAGGCATGTTCGGTTTCTCCCCGTTCAGTGCCTGGCTGGCCTGGCCCTAGGCCTGGATGGCAGCAATAGGGGAACCAGCAGTGATGGCAGCCACAGCCAGGCATTAGGGAGCAAGCTCACCGTAATTCTTGAACCACCGCTCGCGGATCAGGCTCCCGTTGCTCACGATGCTCACGCTGGGCAGGTGCAGCTCCTCTTTGCAGAACTTTACCAGCTGGCCCAGGTACTCGCCCCGGTCATGGATGAATGGCTCTCCGCCTGAGAAGTTTATCTTCTCCATGCCTGTAAGAGGTGAAACATGCATCTGACCTTTTATTTGCCTAGTTCACCAACACCCATTATTATTTTAATGGCAAAAGTGATATTAAAAATGAAATAAAAATATCTTGTTATCACCCTCCTCTAACCTGGTTTCCGCTCAAGCCCCCCAAGTGGGAATAACCAAGTATATACTCCAGGGCCATCCGCTGATGGTCCCAAAGGTGGGTTTTTTTCTCCCCTCTTTTAGAATAGTTGCTCTTTCAGGTGGGGAATCCATGACACAGATGGAAACATCATTCAGAAGGCAAAAAGTGTGATGAGGCCATGCAGGGGTTTGCAAAGCGCAGGACCACCTGCACTGCGCTCTGCAGTCTGTCCTCAGCCCCAGAGAGGATTCCCCACCCTCTGGGCCTCCCTCCCCTCTCCATGTGCTGGTCGCCTCTCATCCTGGAATCCTCACTTTCTTCTTTCTTGGTTTACTCCCTTATTTTGGAAAATAATTTCAGGAGTTTTTAAAAAATGTAAAACTGTGAATTAAAATGAGGACATGTGTATTTCAAAATACACTGGTGGTCAGCAGTTCGTCCAGCCGTAACTGTCATCTGCAGGAACAGGGAAGGGAGCTTCCCTCGCTCAGGAGGGACAGCAGCAGGCCTGCCTTTTTCCTCTCGCCTCCTTCCTGCCTCATCCCTCTTCACAATCTCTGCACCATGTGATGGCTCCAATCTCTGAAACTTCCTGTATTCTGGGGGCCAGTCTGGTGACTGTCCCTCAGCCAGTTCCCCTGTGGAATCATGTTGAAGCTGTCCAGAGGCCATAAATAGGTCACAACAACTACATGTTGATTTCTTTGTGGATTTGTTCCTCTTNCTTTGAGGGCAGCGAGAGGGGATGGGAAGGTGAGCAGGCCGACAGGGTACTGTGCCAGCAGAGCACATCAGAGGGCTCAGGGACAGAATGGGCAGCAAGGAACCAGGGTGCTGGGGCACGCTCTGCAGTTCCTTAGCCTCTGTGATGCCCGACACCTGTCCCTGGGACACACTCAGACGGCCGTGCCATGACCCTGAGAACGGAGGGCTGTGCCCTCCTCGCTGCCTGCCTGCAGGATTCATTTCCTTTGATGGGACCAGGTTTGGGATGTTGGTCCCCCAAGATGCTGGCTTTCATCTCAGAATACCAAGAGTATTTTCCCCAGTGACTCATCTCTGCTCCATCTTGCTGCTGAGTGGGTTGTCTGAAATACGCTTATTAATTATTGATAACTTTGTTGATTTTTAGATTGTACTTGCCTTTAGCAATGGCAGTTTGTAAAAGCACCCAATTACTTTAAACACACACCAAGGAGAGACCTCATTACAATGACCCACTGAGAGCGAAGGCTATCCACTAAAAATATTTTAATATATTAGAAAACATCTTACAACACATCAGACCAATATTCAAGAGTATTACATATGGAGACAAATATATAAATATATATATTTCCTTAAAATCTGAGATTTTCTATACACGCTCAACTTCAATTGAGATAACCTCCATTAAATTACCATTTTTAAAAAAAGGAATATGTTTCACAAAACTGAAACTCATTTACAACTGAAAAAATAAAGCAACGTGATATAAAAACTAAATTTGAGTTTTACTCTAATGCTAAATGTCCCTACTATCCCCCTCTTAAGAAAAATAACTATTCAAACATTTTGAATATTATGTTCAAATCCAGAAATTACATAAGAAAGAGGAATGGTGACGTAAAAACGGCTGGAAAATGCAGCTAGAATAACAGCTAGAAATGCTGATTTCTCAAGTGCAGCTTTCAGTTTTGTGTTGTACTGCCCTTTGGGGAAAGAGAAGTATTTTTCTTCAGCTGGAGAGAAATTCATTCCAACCCAGAAGGAGCTGAGCTTCAGATTCAGATTTTGCTTCAAATAATAATGACTGAGCACCTGCTGTATGCAACGCCTTCAGTGTTTTCACATACATGATCTTGTTTGTGGAACTGACTCTAGTTGAATAATGTGAAGATCAGCAAAGTGCATTCATATTAAGTAAAAAAGCTCTTTTATGTTTGTATTGATTATACTAAGGTCATTATATCTTAGATACTATCAAAACCCATATGGGATAAAAGCTTTCTAATTCAGTTTTCTCTTTAAACTATAAAACTATAAAACAATATAAAATGGAAAACTCATGACAACCTATTCTGTTTAAAATGGGACACAAAAATATTTCAGTTGAATTAAAGAGACTCACAATTTGAAGTAGGAATATCTTTTCTGAGTAAAAATTATTACAAAACCAAACTTTCAAAATCACCAGGCCTTGAAAACAGTTTACGAAGTGCCGTTTCAGCCGCCCAGGGCAATCAGGCAACACTGAAATGCCATCTAGTGGTCGACTCTGGAATGGCGGCTGGATTAACATTTTTCTTTGCATGGGCAAAAAATTTTCCATGATTTTGCTTTTTTTGAAACAGTGATAGGGGATTATTATCTTCCCGGCAGTGAGATACTGCCTAAGGTACATAAACAAGCTGCACGTGATAGTTCCACAGGAGAGGATTTTGTTCCCTGACCCAGTTTCAATGACGTTGTCCCTCAAGCCCTTTTCCTGGGTGTAGAAAGGGAAGATACTGTATCTTCTCATATTGACCTAGATTATATTTTTATTCCAAGTGGTTCAGAGTTAATTAAAAAATATTCTATGGTAACATGGCTTCACTTACATAAAATCCAGGTACATTCTAGAGTCTTCATCCATTTCTTATCTGCCCGGTGATTTTCCAGAGCAACTCATGCCAATCCAATAAGCTGTCACTTTTCAGAGACATGGGGACAGCCACCTATTTAAATAAACCCACATATTGTTGCTTGATGGATTCATGCGGCTTGAGCAATAGGTTCACAAAGCAACCCAAGCCCTGACTCCATGTCAGCTTCATCATGAAATGCAAAGTGTATCTTCATTTTGCTAAGAACCTTGGAAGAGAAAGGTGACCAACAGAGACAGCAGATGGTCCAGGACTAGTCAGTGTGGGCCCCGGGCGTGCAAAGCATGGGCAGATTGATTATCTCCTTCTAGCCACTTATTGAAGACTGATAAGATTATCATTTTGGAACAACTGTCAACTATTTCTAAACTTCTGGGTACAAAATTCAAGACTGCAATGGTGTAAAGCCAGAAAAGGGAAGAGGATACCAAGGAGGAGAAATAATCAGGTGAGATACTTAGTAATTTTTCCAGATGTGAAAATCGGCATCTTGATATTTAACAGAAAAAAAAACTGTATCAAATAAAAGAACTGGAAAAATAACTTCAAAATGGAAATGCAGGAGTTACAGTGCACACTGCTCAAAAAACATTAAATCCAAAATAAGCTAATTAACTAAAGGTATTATTTTGCATTATCTATGGATTTCAATGACCCAAGATATTGATGTGTTCAGTCACCACAGATAATCAGATAGCTGTGTCACAGGAAGTCAGATTTGGGGCCATGGAGAAATGCCCATAGGAATCACTGCTCACAATGGCCACGACACTTGGAGTCTTAGGAAGAGTCGCCCCAGGTGGGCTGAAGGCTTGATCCACTCCCAGCTTTACCAGTCCAGCTTCAGATCTGCCTTGCTCCATGCATACTTTCCTCCTCGCTTCAGAAACATCTTTTCATCAAACCCGCTGAATTTTATAGCTTCTTGTACTCCAACATCCAAAATGGACTTGGAAGGATCCTTCCGCCCGTTTCTACAATTCAGGAAGCGCATCTAGGAAATTCACAACAGAAACTGACATATTTCTATACAATTTATCCTGGAAAATTCAATTTTGAGTATTAATCCAAAATGATTTTTGATATTCCAGTCATTTCAAAAACTGTCTATTGAAAACTGTGGGCCAGATACTATCGTAAAGATGCTGAGCTCCCTGGACACCATCTCTCCTCAACTGGCTTGTGATAACCAGCATGAACACATTAGGTCAGTGGAATGCATGCTATGCAGCATTTTATACATGTCACAGGAGGTGCATTCCCTACCCTGGTGGTGGGTGGGTAATCAGAAAGACTTCTGGAAAATGCAGATCTCTGAATTATGCTTTGAAGTTGAAGGCTAGAGAGAACTCTTACAGAAGTGCAGGAACATGAAACAATACGGTGTAGTTGGGAAATTGTACGTAGATGGTATAACTGAAATGAAAATTGTGTGCATAAACATAGAAGTCTAAATATTTAATAAAAGGTTCTTTTGAGAAAGGTAGAGAGAGGGACAAGGAAGGAGCTTCGGAGGCAGGCGGGCAGGCGGGCAGCAGATGGTAAAGAGTCTTAAGTGTCCTGGCAGGGGTCTTGATTTTTATCCTCCCTTAAGGGTCGTCACACGTCTAATGACCTATGATAACTCTGAGCATTGGGTAGCATTTTGTAGCAGTCAAAATGTTGTGGAATCAAAATGTTCTTAAACTGTCAAAAGCAAATTTTGGTTCCATTCTGTTAGTTCCAATTGTGTGGAGATCAGAGAGTTTGTTGAGGAGCGTCTGTCAAAAGCCCTAGCCAGCCTTGATAGTCCAAAAATAAACCGTTTGGTTTTTCCTTTCTGCCTTGAACCCACAGACTGAACATTGGGTGTTATCACCTTTCCCTGCTTGCTCTTCCAATAAAGAAAGCCCATGTTGACAAAAAATGAAATGGCTGTGAAACATCATCGATTAACTTGAAAATAATAAAAGACCAAAAGTAAGGACAAGCATGTTTCAAAACACCAAATCCAATTTCAATATTGAAGCCATTGTTCTTGTTAGAGCTCATTTCTTAGAAACAGGTCTTTGAATGAAATTATTTTGGCAAAAGTTTATGGATCTAGGAAAAGAGAAATAGAGAGATAAAGGGAAGGAACAGTGGTTTGTGTTTCGGTTTTGAGACGGGTGGATCTTCCTTTTCATCTGGAAGCTGTGGGAGTAGGGATCATGTCAGCCGCTTTTGGAGAGGAATGGTGATATCTTTTTAACAAAGTCGGGATTTGTCAGGACTAGCTGGCAGCAGTGGAAATATTAAAGGTAATTTGAAGCATGATGTGACCTACCTCCAAGGTACCCTGGGTGCTCTGGTGCCAGAGAACCCCCAGCCCAAGACAGCATGAGAGCAGACTCTGCCGTGTGCTCCATCAGCCTCAACGAGGCTTCCGTGAGTCCACACTCAGGGAGAAGCCATTGCCAGGGGCTTAGTGCAAATACAGGGACTGGTGCAAGCTAATGCTCAAGGGCTTAGCTCAGAATGCGACTCTGTGATACTAATGCTCAACAGTGACCATAAGAATATGAGATGCTGGCTAGGAAGAACACATACACGCTAAATGACTATACTCATTATAGCTCAGCTCTGACATTGCTGCTTGATTTATTTGTAAGTGATAATTTTATAATTCATCAGACATACTTACATATTCATCCAGAATAAGGTAGGAATCTTTCATCTGCAAAGGAGAGATTCAAAGCAGATTTAGTTTCAAGGGTATTTTCCAGTATGTATGTTCAACTCTATGTCTTACAATGTGCGTGTATTTTATTACTTCTGGATTCAACATTTCTGATGTGGCTTGAGCATCTTTGGCTATGTTCCTTACAGGGCATGTCCCTTACAGGAGCGTCCACTCCCTCTATCCAATATGCCTCTCCAGGGTCATCTATTTATGTCCATTCAGATTCCAGAAGATTCCAGCTGGCTTGTATTCTCTGCTCCATGTGGAAAGGGACAAATGTCACTCTGAAAGCTTCTCTGACAATGAGATCCCCAGGCTAGTTCCCCCATTTCCTCTAGCTGTGGGGGAGCCTTGAGATTCTCCAAGGCTGTATCCACCATGCATACAGTTGCCCCCCTTTGCAATGTGTAGAGCAGACCCCCTTCCATGCTATTACTTGGGAGCTTACCTGAGAATTTTAATAGCTGCTACATTATTACTGCATTATTACTTGTAACTGGTTATGCCTTCTATAGGTACAGAGAAGATATACTTGTACTTCTCTACCTTCAATACCTCCCCTGTAGGTAGGGGTTGGCAAACAGTTTTCTGTAAAAGGGCAGGTGGTGAATATCTTCAGCCTTGTAGGCCATATGGCCTCTGGGCCACTAATGAACCCCACAGCTGGCCTACGGCCACTGGAGATACACACGGATACTGGGTGTGCTGTGTTCCTCTACAACGCGAGGGACTTGAAAATGGATTTTCTTATCATTTTCACTGGTCACAAATGTTATTCTTATTTTGACTTTTCCCCAACATGCTTAGCTTGCATCCCAGGTTGTCCCTCTGGCCCAGTTTGTCGACTTCCAAGCAGGGCAGGTCGGGACCTGACACTAGCTGTCTGGGGGTGAGGCAGGGGCATATAAAGTGCAGAATCGCAAGCTCACTCGGGACCTGCCCACTGGCTTACAATCCTGGGAGCTTCCCAGGTGAAACCTGAGACTGAACCCAGGTGGAGGGCAGGGAGAGACCAAGGAGAGAGGCCGGCCTTCCAGCCGGACGGGCAGCTGGTGTGATAAGCAAGGGATTGTCTGGGCCGGGCGTAAGAACAGATCTTCACGCCACCCACCAGCATCTCACAGTTTATAGAGAGGCCTCACTGGGGTTCACCCATGTACACATCCCAGATGTTCTCAGCACCGCAGTGCTCTCAGGACTAAGTCCTAGGAGCAGCTCCTCTGTGGCAATGGGGCAGAGTATACGTTCCTAGGACAGGGCAGAAGCTCATTCAAAGGACCCCAAGCCGGCAGGTGCAGGGCCGATGGTGGACCTCAGCCTGAGAGCCCTCCCTCCCATCTCTCTATGCTGAACCCCATAAATAACAGTGGGTGGAGCCCTTGGGCAGAGATTTCCCTCCTTGGAATTAATGTAAAGGTGTGATGGTGAAGAGAATGGCACTTGCTCTATACAACCTTCTGGTTGGACTCGGGCACCAAGCAGGACACCTCTTTGTGGCGGTCCAGAAATCTCTCAAACTCCTCATCACTGATAACGAACCGCTCTGCCTGTCTCAGAGCATCTTCTCCAGCATTCTCGCCCTCAATTATGAGGCACTGGAAGACCTGAAACACAAGCGTGGTGAGTGCTTTTTGCAAAGAGCTGTCTGTCTGTTTTTACTCCAAACCTCATTTCTCGCCCACCCCCCCACCCCACCTTCAACTCTTTTGTACAAAAACAATCTGCAGGCAAGGTGCTGTCTGGAAAGATGTTGCTCTGGGCACACAAGAGCTCACCATGAATTTTAAGAGGCACAAGTGCCCCTAAAATATAAACTTTAAAAACTGGTCCAGATTATGTTCTATCTAATCTTACAATCTAATTTTTTCAGACTACAAAGTAAATGCTGTTCATCAAATGGAACATGGACATTACAAAAACATCAAGAAAATGAACGAATCATTTGTAATCCCCAAACCAAGAAATACCTATTTTCAAAATGTTGTTGTTTCCACTGGTTTCATCCTTATTAAAGCCTCTAGAATATGTTTGTTTTTCAGTTACTGTAGGATAGTTTTCTAAAGCCAATAAGAGTCTTTTTCGTAATTCTTTTAAGTAAATATGTGTGTGTGTGTGTGTGTGTGTGTGTGTGTGACGTGTTACTCTGCCACAGGAATGCCAACATCTGAAAAGGAAGCTGCTGGCCCAGGGACTTGTTCAGGTGACAATAGGTGGCAGCTGATCAAAGACAGTCCCAGCACAGAGGTCAGGTCGGTGGGGTTTGATGGAAGGGGGGATTCTATATAGCATTTAATAAACCTTTGAGTAGCCTTAGAATACAATTTAAATGCCCTAAATGCCAGCTTCTTGCTTACTCTGTTGGCCCCCAGCCACCCTCCTTGGCTCCCCTGTTCTTTGATATCTGTAGCCAGAGTTGTAGCTCAGTATACCAATCAAACACTGTAAAAACTAAGTAACATTTCCAGCTTCCCTAACCCATTGCCACATATTGCCGGGTAACCTCAGGACATAATAAGGTAATCACTTTCCCCTTGTCCCGAACTTGGTTTTGAGTGTGGGCATGGGATTTAAAACATTCCAGGCAGCTTGGGAGGAAAGGTTTCCTTTGCATGGTGAGCCTTCTAGTCTGCACAGACTTTGTTCCCCAGAGCTTCCCCAACCATCTTTTGGAGCACAGCCGAATACCACCTTCTACATGAAGACTTCCAGGCACTTTGGCAGAATTAAGCTTTGCTTGTTCCACTTCCACTTGCCAGATTATCTGAGCATACACAGCTTTAGATTATATAAGTTTTGCCACCTCTCTTTTTCTTACTAGAATGGAATCTTACAATTTTTCCTTAGTTGCATCCATTCTGGGGTCCAGGCATAGATTTCTGATAGCTACATAACAATCCCTAGGGCAGCTTGTTAAGAATACATGCGCATGCAAACCCTCTGGCTCATGTCTGTCCAGAGCTCCTGTTTCAGGACAGTGAGTATTGGGAGAGGTCCAAGAAGCTGTTTTTTAAACAGTTCCTTGAGTTGATTCTGAAGAATAGCCAGGGACAGAACACTTTGATTTAGGATTATCTACAAGCGTCTGCACAGTGCAGATGCTATAAATTTACCTTGAATTGGCTTGCGTGTATTTGCGCTTTAGGCTTTTTACTAACTGGTAATAAGGCCAGTCCTAAAAGCACAAATCTTGGTGAACGAATCTTGGAGAATGCATGTTGCTACAATTTGGGAATGGCCTTGCCCCCAGTGTCTTCTAATAATTTAATAATGAATGTATTAACAGAATTTAAAAAGAACATATATTCTTTCCTAAATAAGCCAAGAGATTTAAGAAGAAAACCAATCCTATTACATTTAATAAGATTAGGCTTTCTATGCATATATTCTTCAAAACATCTCCAAACACTTGGTACATTTTTTTTGACCTTCATTCTCACCATATTCCAGAAGGGAATCAGGGCCAGTTTTCAGAAGGGCAAACGGAGGCAAAGAGAATGTAGGCAGTTTAAAGGAACACAGCGGAAAGGAGGGCCCGGCGTGGGTCTCCGGGCTGGCTCAGCAGGCCCGCTGTCCCCGTAGCCCTGTCACTGAGGTTCACTGGAGCAGGTCTCTCCAGGACGTTTTCTTCCAGGCAGAGGAAGTGGCTCTCTGTACTTACTTTCCAGCGGACGGGGCTCAGGGCTCTGATGTGCTCCTTCATGTCCTCTTCCACATTGAATCGATTAATGACAGAATTTATCTTGAAGGCCACTCTGTAATCTCTACACCACGTTCTCAGCTTCTGAAGATTTTCCACATGGTTCTTCTTGCCTTGACCACGGCCAATAAGGACATTAACTTGCTCATCAAAGCTGTCGCAGGAGATGGCGAGAATGTCCAAGTAGTCACCTAAGGGAAATGACCATCCTTAAGTCTTTCCATCCAAGGACCAGACCCTTTAGGTGGTTTCCATGTCTTCATGTTAAAATGTATTTTGCTTGGCCCTCTAATTTTAATTTTTAAAAAGGCACTTTTCATTGTGCCCACAAAACTCACTGGTATGTGAATTACACTTCCCACCAGTGTAACATAATCCTGAGCCATCCCTATACACACAATGGGATGATGGAGGTACTTACACTGGACCGTCCTGAAACTGGGCACATGCAGCCTGGGGCCAGAGTAAGTCCATAAGTGAGCCCTTATCAACCTACGTAAAAGAGGTTCCACATTAACTGCTACACTGGAATCAAGCAGTGTCAGAGGCAGGTAGTTACTTTGGATCTATGAGCCTTTATGGCTTTCCTTCTCTTTATTTCATCACATAAATAAAATTGCTTTGTAGAAGAACCCTGATATTCCTGCCAAGTTCTTTGGTTTCTTCATGACATCTTTTGTTAGCTTGATTCATCATCTAAGTATGTAGAGAGATGCTATGCTAACCGGGTGCAGGTGTGTTTGCTGCCGAGAAGCCAAGATGGACGGGAGTCTGGGGAAGGAGCCGGTGCCCAGGGGCCCTCCCAGCCGGAGCCTAGGCAGCAGGCTGCTACCGGAGCCCAGGGAAGGTCGGTGAGTGTGACCTTAGTATTGTCCCTCTTGCATTGGTTTCTGTAACATTAGTGTCTCCTCTGCCCTGTCTTTCCTCCTTTTATTTCTCCGGCTGCTCCACGCTGTCCACCTAGACATCCTCTTCCGCCCAGTCATTCACTGTCCACACCCTAACAGTGGACTGAATCAGAGTGTTCCTTGTTATTGGGACCTTGCAGGACTGACTGCAAAGTTAAGTCTGAAACTACTTTCAAATTATAGAAACCAGAGATTCCAGAACTCCTTAAGCATCTTCTCTAATTTCATAATCTTAAATTTAATTTCAATTTCAGGGCTATTTTAGTGTTATCCACATGCATGCCCTCCACTTATCAGGAAAAATTTGAGAAAGACTGAAGTGATTGGTCGTCCTGAACTCTTGAGCTACTATGAGTGAGTTATGATCTATGACCTATACATCCCTGGTAGTCCCATTGCTGTAACTAGTCTCTAGTTTTCCCAAGGGCAAGCACTTGTCTTTGACTTATTTTCCAGCCTCAAAGCATCTAGCACAACTTGGAGCCAGAGTAAGGCAATTAACCATTATTAAAAACAACTCAAAATGTTCTAAAAACTGATCTCAAATAAATCCCAATGGCATATCATGTTGGAAAAAGGCTAACTGAACAAGTGGTGTAGAACAAAACCAAAAATATAGAGACCTGTTAGTTATAGTAAAGCCTTACCTAGTTGATTTCCAGGTCAGCTGACAATCTCAAAGTCAACTGCTTTATTCTGCCATCTCTCCAGCTTTCGCTGTGTGACTATGATACCCCACCCTCCTGCTCCCAGAATTTCTCATCAAAGCCTTTGTGAGGAGAGAGTTAGCAGAGAAGGTCTGCTCAGTCCTTGCATGTCTCTAGGAAAGCCTGGAACCATGATGGAATCTTGGCCCACCCCTGCAGGTATGGCTGCCAGGATGCTGTGTGTGTGCCTAGAGCAACGGGGCATGTTAAATCAACTTGTCAAGAGTTGTCAGGGTTGTTCAGCAAGATTCATGATGCACCTGGTTTCATTGCTGGGGGTCCTGAGTTGGTTCCCATGGTGGGTTGCATAGCTGTGTGTGCCTCTGTGAACAGCTCTGAATGAAAACCTCAGACCCCAAGCCTCAAATGAGCATTCCTGGGCAAAGACATCCCACACATGTCCCTGCAGTTCCCTGCTACAGAGAAAGCACATCATGTGTGTCCTAGACGGGGAGGGACTCAGAAACCTAGGAATGCCCTCTCCGGACTCCGGAGTTGCCCATCTTTTTCCTGCTGTGTCTGCACTGCATCCTTTGCACTAATGAATCTTAACCATGAACAGAACTGGCTGAGTCCTGTGAGTCTCCTAGAAAATTGCCAACCTTGGGGTGTGTGGGAGCTCCAAAATAGCTCTCTTCCCCCACTCAAGTACACAGACCCACCCCTAGTCCAGACATCTTTTGTTAGCTTGATTCATCATCTAAGTATGTAGAGAGATGCTATGCTAACCGGGTGCAGGTGTGTTTGCTGCCGAGAAGCCAAGATGGACGGGAGTCTGGGGAAGGAGCCGGTGCCCAGGGGCCCTCCCAGCCGGAGCCTAGGCAGCAGGCTGCTACCGGAGCCCAGGGAAGGTCGGTGAGTGTGACCTTAGTATTGTCCCTCTTGCATTGGTTTCTGTAACATTAGTGTCTCCTCTGCCCTGTCTTTCCTCCTTTTATTTCTCCGGCTGCTCCACGCTGTCCACCTAGACATCCTCTTCCGCCCAGTCATTCACTGTCCACACCCTAACAGTGGACTGAATCAGAGTGTTCCTTGTTATTGGGACCTTGCAGGACTGACTGCAAAGTTAAGTCTGAAACTACTTTCAAATTATAGAAACCAGAGATTCCAGAACTCCTTAAGCATCTTCTCTAATTTCATAATCTTAAATTTAATTTCAATTTCAGGGCTATTTTAGTGTTATCCACATGCATGCCCTCCACTTATCAGGAAAAATTTGAGAAAGACTGAAGTGATTGGTCGTCCTGAACTCTTGAGCTACTATGAGTGAGTTATGATCTATGACCTATACATCCCTGGTAGTCCCATTGCTGTAACTAGTCTCTAGTTTTCCCAAGGGCAAGCACTTGTCTTTGACTTATTTTCCAGCCTCAAAGCATCTAGCACAACTTGGAGCCAGAGTAAGGCAATTAACCATTATTAAAAACAACTCAAAATGTTCTAAAAACTGATCTCAAATAAATCCCAATGGCATATCATGTTGGAAAAAGGCTAACTGAACAAGTGGTGTAGAACAAAACCAAAAATATAGAGACCTGTTAGTTATAGTAAAGCCTTACCTAGTTGATTTCCAGGTCAGCTGACAATCTCAAAGTCAACTGCTTTATTCTGCCATCTCTCCAGCTTTCGCTGTGTGACTATGATACCCCACCCTCCTGCTCCCAGAATTTCTCATCAAAGCCTTTGTGAGGAGAGAGTTAGCAGAGAAGGTCTGCTCAGTCCTTGCATGTCTCTAGGAAAGCCTGGAACCATGATGGAATCTTGGCCCACCCCTGCAGGTATGGCTGCCAGGATGCTGTGTGTGTGCCTAGAGCAACGGGGCATGTTAAATCAACTTGTCAAGAGTTGTCAGGGTTGTTCAGCAAGATTCATGATGCACCTGGTTTCATTGCTGGGGGTCCTGAGTTGGTTCCCATGGTGGGTTGCATAGCTGTGTGTGCCTCTGTGAACAGCTCTGAATGAAAACCTCAGACCCCAAGCCTCAAATGAGCATTCCTGGGCAAAGACATCCCACACATGTCCCTGCAGTTCCCTGCTACAGAGAAAGCACATCATGTGTGTCCTAGACGGGGAGGGACTCAGAAACCTAGGAATGCCCTCTCCGGACTCCGGAGTTGCCCATCTTTTTCCTGCTGTGTCTGCACTGCATCCTTTGCACTAATGAATCTTAACCATGAACAGAACTGGCTGAGTCCTGTGAGTCTCCTAGAAAATTGCCAACCTTGGGGTGTGTGGGAGCTCCAAAATAGCTCTCTTCCCCCACTCAAGTACACAGACCCACCCCTAGTCCTTTACACCAGAGGTAGAAAATGGGCAGCTTGCAGACTACATAGGTATACACAAACATTTTGTTCCTCAGGGCATCTAAAAATATTTCAAGTTATATGCAAATATTTTTATTTGGAGGATTTAACATAGACTATAGATTTCTGATGTATCTTTAAAAATTTGAGGATATGACAACACTTTCCCTAAATTCCCATAGAGTATAAAGATCAGTGGGAGCTCATAATGGGCTGCCCGTTTGTCCACTAAAACAGGGTGTGGTGCCTCCCATTCTTCACAGTCCTCACACTTCCGTCCTGTCTCCCTACCACTGATTGGGCTTTTCTCATGCACTGCCAAGTTTGCTGATTTACACCACCTCTCCAGCATGCCCTCTGTGCTCCTGACCCGGAAGTGCAGTGGTCCCCTGCCCCCTTTGTCAAGCACACTGACCAGCACGTGGATCCGGTCCTGGAGGGAAAGCACTGCCCAGGGACACACCCAAGAAAGCTGACTAATTACTCTTTTGTTACCCCGCTCCCCGAACCGTTCTTATCCTACAAATCTGCCTCTTCCCAAAGCTTACTTTTGAACTGCTCGACTCCTGTTTCACTGACTCCCTCCATGGACATGCTGGTTTAACATACTGTCTCTTAATCTTTCCTGATGCGCCTTTTCTTATCTTCTTTTTCCCCTCAATCTTCATCAGATGGGCTACACGACCCACACCCACAGCCTCCTCCTGCCCCATGCCAGTGTCTTCACCATCTCAGAAGGGGTATTTAGTCAGAGATCTCCTGTGAACATGCTCAACAAATCATAAATGTTACTGCCCTTTGAATGCTTTCAAGGCTCAAAGAGCATGTAGAAAGCAAGGACAGAAAATGGTGCTCTGAGAATGTGGCTATAACGGTCTCCTAAAATGATGGTACTAAGTAATAGCTAACCTTTTTTGAGTGCTTCTTAAGTTCCAGACCCTGTTTGGGGGATATTACAGTTATGTAAACCTTAGCTGTAAAGGACCTCCACAATCTTAGGACCAGGGGTTCATCATCCTGGCCGCCCAGTGGAATACTGTGGAGCCTCCCAGATTAGCTGTGCATATGCCACAGGTTATGATATAGTTAGTCTGGGTCTAGTACCAACACAGTTAAGTGCTTGGGCAGCCAAACAGACAGCCAAAGTTGAGAAACACTGTTTTAGTCCAATTGCTTAATTTATATGAGACTAATGCAAAATAGTTATTTCTGTACATTTAAATATATTAGACATCATTCGCAAACAGTAAGGGAACTGTGCGTGTGTTGCTGTCTGCATGGGTGTCCAAGCTGAAGCCGTAGGTCTTAACACTTTCTGAATTGCAATGTCCCAGAGCAGCGGTGTGACCCAGTACTTTGTTATCTATCTTGCCACATTTGGTTCCTTGGAGCACCCAAGAACAGAAACGCCCATAACACACGAGCAGCGTGAAAGAGTTTAGAATAGGCATGTTCGGTTTCTCCCCGTTCAGTGCCTGGCTGGCCTGGCCCTAGGCCTGGATGGCAGCAATAGGGGAACCAGCAGTGATGGCAGCCACAGCCAGGCATTAGGGAGCAAGCTCACCGTAATTCTTGAACCACCGCTCGCGGATCAGGCTCCCGTTGCTCACGATGCTCACGCTGGGCAGGTGCAGCTCCTCTTTGCAGAACTTTACCAGCTGGCCCAGGTACTCGCCCCGGTCATGGATGAATGGCTCTCCGCCTGAGAAGTTTATCTTCTCCATGCCTGTAAGAGGTGAAACATGCATCTGACCTTTTATTTGCCTAGTTCACCAACACCCATTATTATTTTAATGGCAAAAGTGATATTAAAAATGAAATAAAAATATCTTGTTATCACCCTCCTCTAACCTGGTTTCCGCTCAAGCCCCCCAAGTGGGAATAACCAAGTATATACTCCAGGGCCATCCGCTGATGGTCCCAAAGGTGGGTTTTTTTCTCCCCTCTTTTAGAATAGTTGCTCTTTCAGGTGGGGAATCCATGACACAGATGGAAACATCATTCAGAAGGCAAAAAGTGTGATGAGGCCATGCAGGGGTTTGCAAAGCGCAGGACCACCTGCACTGCGCTCTGCAGTCTGTCCTCAGCCCCAGAGAGGATTCCCCACCCTCTGGGCCTCCCTCCCCTCTCCATGTGCTGGTCGCCTCTCATCCTGGAATCCTCACTTTCTTCTTTCTTGGTTTACTCCCTTATTTTGGAAAATAATTTCAGGAGTTTTTAAAAAATGTAAAACTGTGAATTAAAATGAGGACATGTGTATTTCAAAATACACTGGTGGTCAGCAGTTCGTCCAGCCGTAACTGTCATCTGCAGGAACAGGGAAGGGAGCTCCCCTCGCTCAGGAGGGACAGCAGCAGGCCTGCCTTTTACCTCTCGCCTCCTTCCTGCCTCATCCCTCTTCACAATCTCTGCACCATGTGATGGCTCCAATCTCTGAAACTTCCTGTATTCTGGGGGCCAGTCTGGTGACTGTCCCTCAGCCAGTTCCCCTGTGGAATCATGTTGAAGCTGTCCAGAGGCCATAAATAGGTCACAACAACTACATGTTGATTTCTTTGTGGATTTGTTCCTCTTCTTCCCATCATTTCCCTGGAATTTTGCTGGAGCAGAGGAAAGATCGGAGAGAACGGGGATGAATATGCACGATGAACCAGAAGGCCTGGAATATCGTGAGATTCAGACTTTCATCCAGTGGCATGGTCACAGGGAGTTCACTTATAGTGCCATTCGGTTTGACTCAAGGCATTGAGTCTTTACGAGATGCTCTGTGCTAGTGGTCCATGTCAGAGTGGGTCCTTTGTAGAATGAACCCTTCAACACATCATTCTACTGAATGAAGCTTTAAATGCCCGACTCACAGCATTCTGATGGCGGGCAAAGCACAGACACCTGGCAGCTCGGAGTAGGGGCAGGAGCTCCTGCCGGCCAGCACGCGGGCAAGGAAGAGAGAGGGGATGAGTCACAGAAATGGAGCAGACGTGAACTCAGAGGTTAAAGGAGCCCCAGGCCCAGTGAGAACAGCAAGCCGACTTGGTCATAGGATTGAAATAATTAGAAACACTGACTAGAAGAACAGAGAGGTGCAGGGAACTTACTGAAGTGCAAACAGCACAACACCCCATAAAGCTCTCTGAGAATAGGATTTGCTAATCCACCTATTCAACAAGCTTTGTATCTCCTAAGTCCCCAATACTGTGCTTCGCAATGAATTTGTGGCTCCCACGGCAACAGAGCTTTTACAATGACCAGGTGGTGAGGCCAGCTGGAGGCTGGTTGGTCTCTCTTCTTGAGTGATTCACTAAGCCCACACCCTAAGTGCCTCCCCCATCAGACTCTCTCTCCAGGCCACTATGCTCTGGCCTCTGTGTCCAGGGCCAGACACGCACAACCCGGGCCCCCCATGCCCAGAGCTGCTGAAATTATTTCAGACCAGCCTAGGCTAAGTCTGTTCACCCCTGTTGTTGCCTTCCTGCAGAAACCACGCTAAAAGCTCCTGTGCAAAGTGCTCCCCACCCCCACGTAGTGACCAAACCCAGGACTTCGCTGTGTGGTCGTGTGGCAAGTTGTGTCCCCCTGAGGAGCTGTGAGTGACAGATCTGAAGAGCTCCTTCCAGTTACCCTCTCCTGATCTGTGTCACACCTCCCCAGATCTTGCCCAAGAAAACAGGGTTAAAACAGTCAAGCAGGAAATAAATTATTACCCTGGTTTATAGGTGCAGGCATTGAGGCCCAGAAAGGTTCACGAGTTATTCGAGGTCGTAAGGCTATGGGCAGTGGAGCTGGGATGTGTGCCCCAGCACCAGAGCCTCCATCACGGCAAGCCAGCCGCCCTTCATGCCAGTTTGCCCACAACGGCCTGGCTCACAGGGGGCCAATGTCACCTGGCCGCTCTTTGTGGAACCTCCTTTCATTCTGGTTCCCTGTCAGATAGGTTGGCTAGTAGGCAGTGATGCATCACATCACCTCCCTATCTAACTCTAACATGCTAGGAGGCTGCTGGTGTGTGATGATCATAATCAAATAAAAACATAGCTCCCCAAAAGTGTGGTTCAATAGGGGCAGATAAACTGGAGAAAATGAAATAGTGTATTGGCTGGTGGTGTAGCCCTTGGTGCTTCTGAGGAGCCTGTTTAGAGGTGATGCAAGAATGAGAAAACTGAAGGAATAGGATGTAGAGACTGAGCTAAGATCTTAGACAAGGAGCAATGAATTCCCAGCGGCACTGACACGCAGGAGCAATCACTGGATGGGCTGCGCCAAGGGCTGCTGCTCCTAGCGGCTCAATTCCTGTCCGTCTTCTCTGGAAAAGCCAGAGGAGCGAATAGTGTGTATTAGAAGCATCTTCACCCAGAACAGTGACATTTAATTTTACATATAATGTACACTTAGATTTAAATTTTAACTTATATGTTAATGTACATTTAAATTTTTAGTCATCACCAAAATAGATTTTCCTCTATTTGCCAGAAATGTCACAGGACACATAACCCATACCGAATGCAGCTGACTCTGCCTTCACCGTTTTGACTCACTTTGATTTTGTGTACTTAAAATTGAGAGGTTATTGTAGGGAATTATTAGTTATAACCATAATAGTTTATACTCCAGTAAAAAAACACATAAGCATTTACTTATTTGTGACTTGAAACAATGCCTGACGTTGGTATAGGAGTAATCATTGTTATCTACATTGTAAAGATGATTAAATGGATCCTCCGAAAAATTGAATGGCTTCACAAATCATGTAAGTGTTTGAGTAGGAACTCAAACCCTAGCCTCATGAATCAAGAGTCTATGTTCTTTCCAGAACACCAGACCTCTCTCACTCACTCATGCACATATTGATTTATCTATCCAAAAACATTTATTAAGCCCTTATTACATTCTAGATATTTTGCTAGATACAAAAATACATAGAATACTCACAGAGAAGGCACATAGTGGATCTCTGGCAACCTGCTGCACTGATGGACAGTGACTGCATTGAGGTATGGGTGGGGAGTTGATAATATGGGTAAATGTAGTAACCACATTGTTTTTTTCATGTGAAACCTTCATAAGAGCATATATCAATCATACCTTAATAAAAGATTTAAAAAAAATACATAGAATACTAAGATTCAGCCTGGAACTCAAACTCTTTGGGGACCCAGATATTAAAAACAAAACAAACAGGAAAACCCCACAACCATACAATTTAAAATGTGCTGCAAAACACATTTGTAACAAGTGCCAGGGGGTCCCAAATGAGGTGAAGACAGCATTAATTCTTCCAGAAGAGGACCAGGAATAATTCTAAGGAGCTTTGGAAGTTCATCCACGGAGGCTGAGGTGACCCACACTTCAGGGAGGGAGGACGTATGGTCCCAGGTTGATGATGCGGGTATGGGGGAGAACAGGTGTAACGTGATGTGTGCACAGCAGGTAATACACTGGGCGCACTGCTGATGGGAACCCCGGGCCTGAAGCCTGTGCTAACAAATTTGTGCTTGAAAACTGTGCAAGAGAGTTAAGTGGGGAAGCAAAGCATCACACACATATTTTAGCAAGATAAGGTGCTTCCAAGGGGACAGCAGCGCCAATGAAATCAACAGCAACAGTCCTGGTGAGAATTGGTCAAAGCCTGAACTAGACCCCTCAGGGCAGGGCAAGGTGGGTCCGCAGGTGAATCAGCTGTGGGTGACTGAGCAAACATAATGGGGAGCAAAATAAGTCAGGTCTGGCATAGTGCACACTGTGTGATTTTATTATATAAAATCAGGCAAAACATTACCTAAAGTACACCATGTATGATAGAAGATAAGCTGGAAGGTCAGGGCAAGGCAGGGGCTGGAAGGGAGCACACACTTGTGGGTGCTGTAAGGTCCTCTCTGCGTCTGGTGGCATTCATCTGAGTGTGGTTACTCCGTCACTCATCGAGGGGAACCCCCAGGATGCGTGCAGCTGGGGGAATGTACATGCATGCTACGCTTCTGTAAAAACGTCAGAGAAACTGAGCAAAATGCGGGCAGTGTTACTGCAGTTGCTAACCTAGGAGGTGCCCCGGAAAGAGGGGAGGACGGGTGTGAAAGGGGAACAGATAGGAGTGAAAGGTGCAGCTTTCGCATGGGACGTCCTGAGCTCCCTCTGAGATGCCTGGGCCTTTCTAATGGGTGGAGCTCAGGACATTTCTGTGTTTGAGTTGTAAATAGTTTCTTTCAAGTGTCATGTTAAGAACACATAAATAACCGCTAATAAAAGACCCAAATATTACAATTCTTAGGTCAAAGTTTTTTTCCAATGTTCCCCATTAACTGTTTCCGGAAACCCAATCCATCGGTGCTTTGGACCAGCTCGGAAGGTGGCATCCTTCCCAACCTGCCTGTTGCTAAGCGGGGCGGAGGGGAGCCTGGGGCGCGCGGCTCTGCAGCTGAGAGCGGCCGGTGCGGAGGTTTGCGCCCTTTGCGGCCGCGCCGCTCCGGGCACGCGGGAGACTCACCTGCCTCCCGGAGCAGCGTCAGCCCCCGCCGGGCCTCCTGCAGCGGGAGCACGAAGGAGGTTTTGGCCGTGTGGAAGCAGAAGCCGCACTTGTAGTTGCACTGGCGGGTGAAGTGGTAGTTGACGCTGGTGGGAGTGAGGGGCCGAGGGTCGCCCTCGTCCTCGTGCCCTGTGCTCCCGGCTGCCTCTGTCCTGCCCCGCAGCCAGAGGAGCAGGAGCGCCAGGCTGCCCCACAGAGAGCTCAGAGGCTTCCTGAAAGCGCTCAGCAGCTTGCCTGCAAACGCCAGGGGCACGAGCATCCACATGGTGGCGGGCGTTGGGGACTGCCTGCAGCTCGCAGCCTCACCTTATTTATATAAGCCGGGCAACCTGTCACGCGGGGGCAGACACACTTCCCCAACTCACTCTCAGCTGAATTGAAGTTTCGATTTTTCCCTTGGTGAAAATGAAAGTTAGCACAGAGCCAGGACCCAGGCTGGAGCTGAGTCGGCATCTGCTCTCCCTGGGTCGCTGCCAACCCAGGCTGCTGCTGTAACAGCCCGCAGCTGGATACAGAGGTGGACCGCACTGCCTGTGTCTCCATCTAGCACCTGTCCGCAGAGCTAGATTGACGTACAGCCCCTCTTTGTTGTTGTAAGACTACTGTGTGAGTTAACCCGTGGAAGCTTCTACCTGTCCCCTTCACACGGCCGCCACTCAGGGAGGGTCTGTTAGGAAAACCGAAGAACAGAAAGAATGGCCGGGGAGGATGGGAAAGAACCAGTCAGCTACAGGGCCCTTTGGGGTCACGGTCAAAGCAGGCAGGCACCAATGACATATATGCCTCAATCCTTCATTAGGTATTCATCATAATGGATGCATTTTCATAGTGTTAAAACTTATATTTTCCCACATATTTATGCATTTCTATACCATTTCAAATCAACAATAGGAAATTAGATGCTTTTCTAAAATGCTTCAGTGGCAAGAATTACTGTAGCTTGTTATTTATTCATTTTGACAGTTTTCTTAGAAAGCATTGTTGAATTTAGTACTGAAGTTCTGTCTTGTAGCTCCCTTGAATCTGAACTGTGTTTGAGCGTGTGGTCTCATGTTTTCATGAGACTTGTAAGAAGGTGGAATAGTCTTAATGGCTAAGCTTCTGGATCCACAAACCTGGCTCATCTCTTACTAGCTGTGTGACTTTGGTAAGATACTTTCTCTCTCTGGATCTTCATTTCCTTATTTGAAAGATGGTAAGACTGGAAATCTCATGGGATTTTTAGGAAAACTGAAAGTTCTGATTTTTGTGAGTCACTTAGAGCTGTGCCTGGACAATTATAAATGTTCTGTTAGGATTTGCTGTTGTTGTTCTGGGTAGTGTTATATTCTGAATGGAAACAAAGATGACTTTCACTTTACTTAGAAGGGAAACCGAAAGCAAATCCAGTGGAACATCAGGTGTATGCTTAATGATTAATGATCATGCAATGATGGATATGATCCAAGTCCATGAAATCTCCCTAGCCAAAAATATCTTAAAATCTCATCATGGTTTGGCTCAGCTAAGAAATACTTTTTTGCTAGATCACATGTGTATGAAGAAATGAAAACCAAATCAGTTTGCATTTCAAATCTAATATCAGGTGTGGCACAGAGGAAACCACCCAGGCTTTTGAAGCCAAACATCACAATGCTTGACTCTGAGGTCAGCCAATAGCATGCCAAGTTCAGCACGTGCCTGACACACAATGTTGTATGTATGCTAGATATTTCTAACTCAGCATGCCAAACACCTATCTGCATGCTTAATGTACATCATGTCATTCAATCTTTAAAACAAGCTGTGTGAATTAGACATTACTACCTATGTTTCCCAGATGTTTTAACAAGATCAGACAGGTAAAGAAATTTACCCCAAATTAAATCCTATTGGCTGACCTAGGATTCAAACCTTTTGATGTTTGGCTTCAGAAACCTGGGTGGTTTCCCTCTGTGCCACACTTGATACTGGATTTGAAATACAAACTGCTTTGGTTTTCATTTCTTCATACCCATGTGATCTATCAAAAAAAAAAGAATTTCTTAATTGAACCAAACCATGATGAGATTTTAAGATATTTTTGGCTAGGAAGATTTCAAGGATTTGGATCATATCCATTGTTGCATAATCAGTAATCATTAAGCATACACCTGATGTTCCACTGGATTTGCTTTCGGTTTCCCTTCTGAGTAAAATGAGTCATCTTTGTTTCCATTCAGAATATAGCACTACCCAGAACCACCACCATTTGCAACACTGCTCCATAATTAATAATTATGGTCCCTTTATTTTGCTATTACTTCCTAAGTCTGTTCAGTCCAGGCCAGTTGTTTTTATTCACTCATTTGTTCATTCTCTCATCTAGGCATTCTATTCTCTCTTTCCTTCCTTTCTTCTTTCCTTCAACAAATGTTTATTGAGAGCCTCCTGTATATCAGGATTGAATACAAATAAGTAAATAAGTAAGTTGAAGTCTCTTGCAGCAAAGAGCTCATGAAAGCCAGCAGGCACTTTGGTACTGTTTGAACATGTGCTCAGTCCTTGCTACCTTGTCTTTCTCCGTCTAAGAGGGAGACTCGGGAGTGGAGCCTTATTCCCTTGCAAGGTTATAGCTTGCAAGGGCCAGGGAGGGATTTCTTTTACCTACTGCTCAGGATGGGGGTGGGCTAGAGGGAGATCAAGGCAGCCTCTTCTTGTCCTCTCTTTCTCAGGCGTTGGCCATCTGTAAAGGCACCCAACACAACTGGGTAACAGCCAAGTGCCATCGCCATTTCCCCTCAACACTGCCCATCTCCAGTGCTTTCTGGTGTGGGCCATCCCCGCAGTAACACCAAACAGGGGATGCAGCACATTAGCTGATTGCGGGGTTGTTCAGTTACTTCCGACTATTTCTTTGGTAGGTCTTTCATGGACGCATATTAAACATCAAGAAAAGCGCACAATGCATAAATATACAGCACAATGACTTTTTGTCAGAATGAATGCATGTAGGTAATGACCATCTTGACCAAGAAACAGAGCTTTGCCAGGACCCTGAAGTTTCCAGTTTCCTCGCCCAAGCCCTAACCCTTCTTCTGCCTCAAAGTAAACCCTGCCCTGTTTTCTGAAACCATACTCTTGGTCTGCCTGCTCTTGAAGTTCACGTGGATGGGATCCCGGCAAGTAACCTCTCGGTCTAGATTCTTTCCCTCAACGTTACATTTGTAGATTTACCCATTTTGTTGTGTTTCACAGTGGTTTGTTCCTTTCCACAGCCATCTAGGAGTCCATGGTCTAAACATACCACAATTCATTCAGTCATTGTTATGATGAGAATTTGGAATATTTTGCTATTACACTATGAATTTATCTTGTACATGGCTTTTGGTCAATTTATGTGGGGTCTATGCCCAGGAGTGGAATCACTGATTCATAAGCTACATGCATGTTTCCCTTTAGTATTACCTCCAAAGTGCTTCCAAGGTGCCTAGACCAATTTAGTTCCTAGACTGGAACTAACAGAAGTTCCAGTTGCTCCACATCTTCTTTTTCACTTGGTAGTGTCACTGTTCAATGTTTTGTCTGGTTTAATTTTAGCTGTCCCAGTGGGTGAGTAGCGGTATCTCACTGTGGCTTTCGTTTCTAGTTTCCTCATGAATAATGATGTTATGCCCCTTTTTATGTTCATTATCCATTTGGATGTTCTGTTTTGTGAAGCACCTGTTCACATCCTTAGCCCATTTTTATAGTGGGATTTTGCATTTTTATTGTTGATTTACAGGACTTCATTGCACACCATGCACTTTCTGGTTTGTATGTATGTATTGCAAACATCTTTAACTCTTTGGCTTTCCTGTTAACTCATGTACTGGTTGTAATTTAATTCATTTAATGAGTGTAATTTAACTAATTTACAGAGCTGCAATTGAGTGTGTGTGTGTGTGTGTGTGTGTGTATTTAAAGAAATGAAATGTAAATAGTGCTTCAAAATAAGTACTGTTCCTTGAAATTTTAGTTCTCTGTCTCGGGGTGTGTGTGTGTGTGTATCGGGTTGTGTTTTAGGAGTCTCAAGACCACTCTAATGTTTGCTGACTGGCTAAAAGGACTCCTAAGACTCAGGAGCAGGTTTCACTCACAGGTAGGGTTTGTTCTACGGAAAGGATGCGCATCAGCGTCCAGAAGGCCACACAGGCTTCCCGGGCCTGGCCGTCTGAGCTCTCATTGGAATTGCTTTCTGCCTGGCCGTGTGCTACAGGGAAAAGTATGAGACAGCCAGTCAGGGAAGCCTGCTTGAGTCTCAGGGTCTGGGGTTTCGAGTGGGGGGGGGGGCTGGACAGTTAGGGACATCCTGCCATGACCAGCCACGGTGGTCACCTAGTCTCAGGACCCCAACTGTGACCCGTCGCCAATCTTGATGTTTGGGACACACAACACCCACCCACACCCCGCATCTGCCACAGAAGAGGAATTATTCCAACCAGCCCTGGGCCACCCGCACCCCCGCAGAAGGCCGCGCCCGGCTCGGGTTCCCAAGCGGAGCCAGCCTGGGGCTCTGCGGTGGAGGGCAGCCCTGAGCGCTGGAGCCGGGACGCTCGCACCCCGCGTCGGGGAGGGCGCCCCAAACCCAGGGCCCCGCCCGCCGGCCGCTTAGCTTTCGTTTCCCCGCGGCGCCCCGGGAGGCATTTCCGAGGGGCGGGGCGGGGCCCGGCAGCGCCTATGGCCTTCGCCCGCCGCCCGCGCGCCCCACTGCCGCTCGGACGCCTTTGGGGTTCGCAGCGTGGGGCCTGCGCCCGAGCCATGGCGCTGCCGCGCCGCTTCGCCCTGGAACTGCCCGGCTGCACCGTGGCGCACTTCGCGGTCGGCGACGGCGTCCCCGGCGCGCACAGCGACCCCCAGGGCCTGGCCGCGCTCCTCGGCCCCCCGGGCCGCAGCTACTCGCTGTGCGTGCCCGGGCCGCCGGGCGGGGACTGCGCGGCGCGGGTGCGCGCGGCCCGGCTGCACCAGCGCCTGCTGCGCCAGCTGCGCCGCGACCCCCTCCAGCGGTGCCAGCTGCGCCGGCTGCTAGGCTACTGGCCTGGCGGCGGGGCGGGCGACGTGCAGCACGGCTTCCTGCTCCACGACCCCAGCGACAGCCCCGACACCCGGCGCGCGCTGTTCGCGCTGCTGGGCGCGCACCCGGAGGCCCCGCGCCTGGGCGAGTTCGTGGGCGACGAGAGCCGCCAGGTGTGGCAGCGCCTGTGGGAGCTGCGGGACGGCGCGGGGTGGCAGCAGGTGGGCCAGGAGCCCGTGGTGGCCGCCCCCGAGCCCGACCTGCACCCGGCGGTGCCCGACCTGCCCAGCTCCGCCGTCTTTCCCCACCGGGCAGCCGCCCGCGCCGTGCTGGAGGCGGTGAGTTCTGGCCCTTCCCAGCACTGGGGCTGCACCCCCAGGCGAGAGGTGGACCCGACTGTGCTCTCCGCGGGGCGGGCCCTTCCAGACTCTCCGACCCGGGTAGTGATTTGCTCCCGTTCGCAAAGCGGGTAGTGAAGGCGCCTGTGCGCCAGGCTGGCCATAGACTTTTTCGCCCTTCTTGCCTGCCAGTCTTCCAGCCTGCTGTGGGAAGCCACGCTTGCGGAGCCTGCTGTGAACGCGCGCAGAAGGCCCTGCGCCGGGAGAGGCCGCCGGGGTGGGGAAGATCAAGCCGCTCGGGCCGCAGTTCCACGGCTCCGTGAGGTTGCGGTGGAGAAACGGCATGAGTTTGGGGGCTTAAACTTAGCCCCAACAGCGCCTGACCCCTGGCTGGCTGCGCACCGGTCGCCCAGCGCCCATGAGTCTGTTTTTCTCCTTTGATCTTCCTCGTACCTGGCTTGCAGTGTTGTTATAAAACAACAAAACACGGGATACGGAGGATGCGCCGTGAAGGAGAGCGAAGGTTCTTTCTGACCGCAGCCTGGGCAGCGATGTCCGGAATCGGCTTCTGGGGCTGCTCCGTGGAACTTGCTTACTTCGTGCAGGCTTTAGGGCTAATACTGGGAAGTGGTTAGGGGTGCAGGGCCCAGGCTTGGGTCTAAATCCAAACTCTGGCATTTATAACCTGTGTCACTTTCAGTAAGTTTCTTAGACATTCTTTTGCCACGGTTTCCTTTTTCCGTCGTAGACGGGGATAGTAACGGTGCCACCCTCACGGCGTTATGACCCATGTTAACACTCTGAAAGCACTTGGAATATGTCTTGTTCAGAGTAAGCGCGTCGCCAAATGAATGTCAGGGCCCCTCTGGTGAGATGCTGCGAGCAGGAGCCAGACCAAGAGTTACTCGAACTTTGAATCCCCGGGAAGCCCCTCCCCGGGCCCTTGGGTAACTGAGCGCTTGGTGCTCTTGCCCGCCCCACAGCGGTTCGAAGAGGTTAGGAGAGGGCAGGATGCCGACTGCTCTCTGGAGCCACAGTGCGGCTGACGGCCCACGCTGTGCCAGGCTGGACGTTAGTTCCACTGTCGCTGTGTCACATGGCTCTGCATATGTGTGTCCTCCCTGGCCTTCCTCCCCCGGGGTGGCTGGTCTTTGAGCTGCAGCTGCCCAGTATAAGGTAAGGGAATCTGGCCCTTCTCAGCTTCGCGAGCCGAGCCTGAATTTCGGCACGGTGCCGCACACCACTTCTGCCTTGTTCGCACTGGGAAGTCGGTTCTCTGCAGTTCGATACTGCTGCTAAAGCCCGGTGGCGTCCCTGCCGACATACAGACGTTGTCTTTCAGTGCACACCCTTCATTCCCGAAGCCCGGGCAGTGCTGGACCTGGTCGACCAGTGCCCAGAACAGCTCCAGAAAGGAGAGTTCCCCGTTATTGCCATCGAAGGGCTGGATGCCACAGGTAAGACAATGTTACCTTTTAGTTAGAATGAGATTAATTGGTCAGTTGCTGGACCAGATCGACCTTGACAAGCACCACTTTGTACAGAGTTCAATTCGGAAGTCTCACATGAGCCCGTAGGGTGTGCCAGGTCCCGAGAAGGCTGTCCACGTAACGCCACGGGTGGGTGGGTGGAGGAGCCGAGCCCCAGGAGCTCAGGTGAACACGAGCAGGCACTGCACGCTCCCTCCGGGGACACGGGCGAGGGGTTGGGGCCACGGTCAGGGGTAGCTCTGGGAGGGTCAGCACCTACATGCTGCGTTCCCTCCACATGGGAGCTGGTCAGGTGAGGAAGGAAGGGTGAGGTCCTCCTGACAGAAGCAGTGGCCTGTGGGCGCAGGTGTGGGCTTGACCAGCATGGGGTGTCCGGGAGCCACAGACAGGTCAGAAGCCCCTTTTGGAGCAAAATGGAGAAGAACTAAGAAGTGGAGGCAAAAAGCCTTTGGAGTGGCTTTTTGGACAGCCACCAGGACACAGTGGATGTGCCTGTGCTGAGCCCAGGGGCACTAAAGCATAAGTGTGGCCTTCTGGGCAGCAGGAAATCCCTAAGGAAAAGGTTGACCTCGGGCAACAGTAGCCTCGGGAGGGTGGGCGTGTGGAGTCGCTGCCTGTGCTGACGTGCGGGCTGGAGAGTGTTGGCAGGAGGCGCCCAGAGCTTATAACCAGGCCTGGAGGCCCGACCCGGGCTTCAACAGTGATTTGTAAGCAAGAGGACCATTTTGTTTTTTTTCCAAGCAGAGGAACCCTAATATCCTAAAGGCCTGCAACTTTTTATAAAGAATCGTATTGTTAAGGAGCTCCTTTGAGGTGCAGGTTGTAAGAATGTCTGCTCCTCCCGAGTTTGTACTGACTTTAGGAACTGACATGCTGAAGATGAACTACACTTTGTGTGACCTGCAGGTAAGACCACCGTGACCCGGTCAGTGGCAGAGTCACTCAAGGCAGTGCTCCTGAAGTCACCACCTGCTTGCATCAGTCAGTGGAGGGAAATCTTTGATGATGAGCCCACTATCATTAGAAGGGCTTTTTACTCCTTGGGCAATTACATCGTGGCTTCTGAAATAGCAAAAGCATCTACCACATCTCCTGTGATTATAGACAGGTGGGTATAAAGGTGCCTTGAATTTGCCATTTTTTCTCTAATGTGTACATGTGTGTTCACGTGTGTGCCTATGTATGCAAGTGTACAATTGTGTTTATTAAGTCACACTGTAGTATGATGATAATAGGAATAATGTCTGTGATTTATTAATTACTCGAGCCATAGCCTGGTGTTTTGCTAAGAGCATTACATATATTCTAATGTCTGAAACGATTACTTGGTTAGGTGGATACCAAAAAAATATTCCCCAATGTACTGATAAGAAACATGGCAAGTGACTTGCAAAGTGACTGAGCGAGCACCCGCATGTTAGTGATATGAGCAAATGTCTCTGCTTCACAAATCAATGCTTTCTGTGGATCATTTGTTCATTGGCTTACTCAAGAAATGTTTATTGGGTATATACTGTGTGCCAATGACTGTCCCCAGTTTAGGGGACCCAGTGGTATATGAGTTGGATGCTGCCCTGCTTTCATGGAGCAAACATGCCATTGGAGGAGAAGGTAATAATCAAGTGCATAAAGATATCAGGTAAGTCAGAGGGGGTAGATACTGTGAGTGGGGTAAACTGAGGTAATGTGGTAGAGAGTGCTAAATCCCACTTGATGGGGTGTAGGTAAGCCTGTGTGGGAAGGTACCATTGACCTGAGCTCTGAATGACCAAAAAGAGACAAGACATGGAAATTCAGGAGTAAGAGCATCGCAGAGAGAGGGCTTGGGGACCGACGCCTGTACACAGAAAGAAGTTAGCATATTTGAGGACTAGAAGCAGGCCACTGTGCTGAAAACATAGGTGCCAGGGTGCTTTCTGGATGAATGAACAGAGAAAGGCAGAGGATTGAGCAGCAGGGCCTGTGGGCCATGAAGACTGGGGGTTTTATTCTGGGTGCCTGGGGAGCCATTGGAGGGTTTCAGCTAACAGAGTGACATAAACTGATTTATATTGTTAAAATTCTATGCAAAATAAATAGCTTAAAGGTGCTACACAAATGAACAATATATATGGCAAGTGAGTCATGCTAGGCTTACACTTACCACTACTGAGCGACACAGAGACTGCAGCCAGGAGGAGATCGCATGTGACTCTCATCAGGCTGGTGGCAACTGATGAGCCATGTCATAAAGCCCAGAGTTGGAGGTGAGATGGACTGAGAGGAGCTCTCCTAGGAGGCGGGACATGGCCACCATGCCTTGGGAACAACGTGAGAAGATGTAGCAAACTGCAAGATTGCTTCCACCTGCTGAAGAAACGTAAGAGTTTGTTTTAGCTTTGTGCATAATATGGAAACAATTGAAAAACCAAAAGCCCATCAACAGAAGAAAGCATAAATAAATTACTGGCATATTTATAAAATGGAGCACTATACAGCAATATAAACTAGTGCATGCATTAATGTGCATTAATTAGAAAATCATAATTTCAGATGAAAAAATCAAGTTGCAGAAATATGTTCAGTAAAATACACACAGAAAATGCCAAATGCAGAGTACAGAGGGATGAAGGGATGGGGAGAGTGCTATTCTCTTGCAAGGAGAGAGAAATGCATTTGGTAAGAAGCACAGAAGGGCTTCATTGCAATCGGACTATTCCTTAACATCACTGCAATGTTTGTTTTACTCTCCCTGCAATTTTACCTATTTTTGGAAAGTTAAGCAATTGTATTGAAGTATGACTAGTATTCAGGAAAAAATATCAGTCATAAATGTCAATTTCAAGGAATTTCAAGAAGTGACCATATCCAAGTACAGCCTGCATCAAATCAAGACTTGGAGCCTTCCCACACCCCATAAACTCTCCTCTTCCCCCTCCCAGGCCCTACCCACTCTTCCCCTGGGGTGATGTTCCCCTGGGGTTAGTTCTGTCTGCTCCTGACCTGCCTGTACATGCAGATGTTCATCGAGTGCCCTTTGCATCCATGTTCTTCATGCTACAGGTGAGATCTGTCCTTGCTGCTCTGAACATTCTTTTACACAACTTTGGTACCTGTATGTTTGCAGTTCTGCTGCGTAGATTCCCAGGCATGGAATTGCAGGGATATGGGGCTCATGTGTGCTCAGCTTTCGCAGGTATTGCAGAGCATTGTTGGAAGTGGTTGGGACCAGTCACAGTGCCCTTCCACACAGCAGTGTTTGCGAGTCCCCTTTGACCGGGTCTGAGTTCACGTTTAACACTGCCAGTCTCACTAGAGTCGCTGTCCGCTTGCTCCTGGAGAGTGGGTTGGCCAGCTAAATGACAGTCTGCCGTACTTAGAAAGAGAACTCCTACCCCTTTCTTGACATACCTTTCTCTGCAGTTTTCTGTATCCCTGAAATATTCCACAAAGAGCATTCTGAGTGGATGTAGAGAAGAAAGCATGTGGGGCAGGAGGGGGCAGGAGGAAAACGCCAACAGTTAGAAGGCAGCGCTGTCATCCAAGCGATGCTGTTGGTAGGTGGGCAAGACAGTTCTTTCAAAGCTGGCTATGAGGAATCACAGAGAAGGGTAAGAAAGCATATGCTCCATTGTGCACCCCTTTGCCCCTGGCATGTTGCTGCTCTGTTGTAAAGTGTCAGCAGCTGTCCTGTTTGATATCTTTTTGGATGCAGATTCCTGTGTTTCAAGGAGAAGACTAAACAGTTTCTTAATCTGTTAAACGGGGACACTCTTCACCCCTTCCCTGCCTCACACGGCGAATGGCGAGGAACAACCAAGGACTTGATTCCTGTGGAAGGGCTTTGAAAATGGCAAATTGCTATTAATACATAAAGCATTAACTATATAAGCTGTGGACAATGGGCTAGCAAGTTGCATTTGATTTGAACTAATGTGGTTTCCCTGATGGCAGGAATGAGGGGTACCGAACAGTGGCAAGAGTCGGCAATTGATGACCAGGGGGTATGATTATTTAGAAGGATCCGCAGTCTTGTCAATGAGAGAACTCAGCTATGGAAGGCAGGCCCTCATTCTCCCTGTGATTTTTCTTCTTTGTGTCTGTGAATTGTCTGCAATTTGGTCCTTTAAAGAGATACTGCATCACCTTGTCAGATGAAAAGAAAAGAGCAGTTATTTGTTGTCTGGCTGGGTTTTGTTCATGTTTAAAGATTTTAATGAGATCTATTTTAGACAACGCCATCATCTAGCTGCAAAAATGAGGGAGACTGTAATTTTTTATGGTGACTGTGGTTAAGGTTGGCAACTTAATCACCCCCATTACCTTTAAAAATCTATTCTTACCGACAGTTTTTACAATAAAGAAGGCTTTTTACATTATGATGATAACCTCCGTATTCACAGCTGAGTATTTAATTCAGTGAACGTGGAACACATGTAAAATGCAGTGCAAATTGTAGTTTGGTCACCAAGAGAAACGAAGCTGGGCCCTGCGTGGATTCATCCAGCCGGGGAGGCGCGCTGCGTCTGCCGGAGAAGGTGGGAGCACACGCTTGTAAGTGATCCGAGGCAGGGAGCGGCTGCGGAGCAGTGGGCCCAGGCAGAATTCAAGGGGCAACAGCTCTAGTGGCTCGAGGTTTTCAGAGCATGCTTTTGGGTGTGAAAAAGAGCTTTGAAGAATGGATGATATTAAAGGTGACCAAAAATCCCAACTTGATTTTTTACCTGTGTCCTTTTTGGTACTGTCTGTATTGTGTTATTGTAACTTGTAATGAAGCAGCTTTAGATGTCGCCAGTGTCTAGTAAGCATTAGATACTGTCTTAGAACGACAGTGTGATAACTTTTTAAAGCACTTGTCTATTTTGGCAACAGCTAGGGAAGGAAAACCAAGCTCGCATGATGTTCATTTTTCCGGGGAGGAGACAGCCTGTGTTGGCTTACACATTGGCTTAAATGACTTAGCTATGCTCACAAAGCAAGTAGGGGCAGAAGGTAAAACCATACCCAGCTCGTATAACACTGTGAATCTATTTTGTAGACACTCCCATGTCCTTGTCATTGAAAATAGTAGCTCGAATCTAAAATGATGAAAAATTTAGGATTTTAAGGCATTGAAACTACAGACAAGACTGAGGCCACGGGTACCTCTTTACATTGGGATGTTTACAATTGTTTCATAAATATTTGTTGTTAGTGATGTTTCTTTGATGCAGAATTTGGAGTTTTGCATTTAGTCCCTTAAAACTGGAGTATGACATGCACAGGGCAAGAGTATAATCAGCTTTGACAATTAATCAAATAATTGCAACTCATTCATTCATATGTCCCAATAATATCTATTCATATCAACTCACCAGATTCCGGTTTCATGTTTGGGACAGAAAGGAATGATCTAACAGGTGACAAAAGAGAACATGTGTGACAATGACAGGTTCTGACTGACAGTGAGAGACGTTCAGTAGCCTGGAGCATGAAGGGCATTGGAGCCCACAAACAGCGGGTTCTGCTCTGGGACTTCATCCGAGGGGAGCCCTGCAGGAAGGGGACGCATCCTGCTGACTGAGAGCCTCCCTGGAGCTGGAGGGAAAAGTGTGGCTAGACCTGGGTGAACGGCTGTGCCTGGATGCATGCTGAAGCGTGGGTGCTCTGTGCCCCAGGATGCTGGCTGGATACTTCCTGGCAGGCAGTGGAAAGCCACCGGGCATTTTGAAATGGAGCTGATTTAAATTTCTTTTATGCTTGTAATCTTCCTTTCCTCCCCTCGAATGGCTTTAAAAGCAGCCAGTCAGGAGGGGTCGACTTTGCTTGGAGATGACATCCATGGACTTGTATTTAGGTTTATTTTTCTCCTTTGCCAAAACTGATGAACAGGTAGGTGACTGGAGAGGGGCAAGGACAGCGGCCTCCTAGCCAGGCATTGTCACCCACGGTGTGATTTCATTGGCAAGTTCAGCCTTGAAACAACAAAGGAACCAAATGGGCCTTCAGATTTTTGTTTGGCCAAGACACAACACTAAATACAAATGGACTGCAAGTCTGCCGCCTGCGAGCCCTGCCTTCACTGAGAGAGCAGACTGCAGGCCAGAGAGGTGCCGCATGGGACCTCGCCGTCAACGCAGTGTCGTTTGAGTCAATGGAGCTCTGCAAAGAGCCCACTGCATTCTTACTGGCGTTGATTTTGATTTAGTTTTTGAATTTATACTTTTAAAGTAAGATTTAGTTTTATCTATGTATTTTATACAGTACTAGGAACTCTTCAGCAGACCCATCCTCGTTTCAACATCCTCGGCAACTGATTTTCAGGTGCGATCATGACCTCTGCAGACGTAGCGCTCACCACTCCTGTCCTCCTCAGGTACTGGCACAGCACGGCCACCTACGCCATGGCCACCGAGGTGAGTGGGGGTCTGCAGCACCTGCCCCCGGCCCACCACCCCATATACCAGTGGCCGAGGGACCTGCTCAAACCTGACCTGGTGCTGTTGCTCTCCATCAGTCCCGAGGAGAGAAGGCAGAGGATTGAGGGCCGGGGCTTGGAGAGGACCAAAGAGGAGGCTGAGCTGGAGGCCAACAGCGTATTTCGGCAAAAGTAGGTGAACTGATGCCATGTGAGTGGCGGGGTCCCCGGTGCGGGTGGTGAGCCAGGATAAGTACTTACTTTAGGACTGCAGAAGAAATGACACTGTTCCCATTTTTCAAATGCAAGAGGCAATTCCCTCCAAGTAGCTCAGTTCTTTTTCAATGGGCTGCTGCCGCCAGGCCTGCAGCATTGCTGTTTTAAAGCCCTGAGGTATCTGACTGGGGATCAGACCACCTTTCTAGTCCAGGCCTTGCCAGGAACAGTGTGAACCTGAGTTAGACAACACATGTTTGTTGGTGTCCGTTTCCCCAGTCGTGACATGGTGGGCACAGAGCGCATCTGATGAACTCATGGTGACTTTTACCTTTGAGACACTTTCTGTGTCAGGCCTGCAAGGGCAACATTAGTCATATTTTACAGTTTATAAAATGGAAGCTCGAAGGATTAAGTGATTGGCAAGGTTTGCATAGCTACTAAGGCAAAAAACTGGGATTAATACCCAAAGCTTTCTGATTTTAAGCAGTACCTCTGTTGTCATTAGAAAGCTCCGGACACAGATGCCGGACAGTCGGTGCATCCCACTGCTTCCTGGCTGATGTGCGTCAGCTCTCAGGACGGCTTTGAGAAGCCAAGCCATATATAAGCAATGAGAGAGCTGCTATCGTAACAAAAACCTGGTATTACAGAAATAATGAAATAGCAGCTCTGCTGTGTGCAGGGAACCACGTCCAGTAATTTCCTATGTTAATTAAATTAAACTTCATGACAAACTTGAAAGCGAGGCACTGTCTCAGTTCTCAGTTTGCGGATGAGACAGCGGAAGCAGAGAGAGGGAGAAGGCTGATGGGTTCGCCTGGCTCGTAAGTGGTGATGCAGACAGAGCTGTGGACCCAGACATCTTGGCCAGGTGCCTCCTCTAACCGCATGCTGGCTGCTTCTGTATGGCCATTAGCATCAACTGTTCCATACACGTCAAGGCTGGCTACCATTGAAGTGGTGACATTTTAGAAGAATCCTAAGTGAAAACGATGCATATGCCAAGGACCTCTGGCTTGTATGAAATTTGGCGGGTCTGGAATCCTTTAGGGCACACACTGTGGACAAATTTGCCATTGGGCAAATTAATCTCTTTGAGCCTCTGCTACTTTCTCTGTAAAATGGGACAACAGTTTAAGTAATCCCTGCTAAGGTCACTGAATGTGAAATGAGAAGAATCATGCAGAATGGTGATGGCAGATGATAGATACCCAAGAAATGCTGGCTCATAAACAGTGTTATTAGTTTATCATTTATTAAGCAAAACATATCAAATGTCCCCTATGGGCAATGCTAGTTGCTGAGGGGAGGGGAGCAGCGAGATAAACCAGATGGGACTTGGCTTCTAGCTGTTTATATTAGGGTAGAAAAATAACACTTGCATGAAGAGCTGTGTCAAAAAGTAGGCCAACTCTTTTTTCATTCTGCCTGCCCCCAGGGTAGAAGTATCCTACCGGCGGATGGAGAGCCCTGGCTGCTGTGTGGTTGATGCCAGCCCCTCCAAAGAAGAGGTCCTCCAGATGGTTTTAAGCATAATCCACAATAATTGTAATTAAGTATAATTACTCCTGGCCAGGAGACATGTTTTCTTAGATGTGAAGTTGGCTGATATAGCTAAGCCCACAATTGGTTATGCAGTTTTCCCAGAATTCTATTGCAGAAGAATTCTGTGTGGCAGAAAATTGGAGTTGAGACATTTCCATTTTACTTAGACCTTTGTATTCACTTCTGGCTGATGGACCCATCAAGGCTGAGACTGGTCATGTTTCAGCCAGAGACCTGTGATGCTTTCTGCCCACATAACAAACATTGTCTTGGAATATATTTTTAACTACAACCCTACCAATCCTTCCGTGGTTTGCTCATCCAGAGCGCATGAGGGGCGCAGAGCGGGCTGAAGTTCTTCCAGGCCAGCAGAAGCCCCTCCAGCCTGTCCCATGCCTACACCTGGCTCACTGATGAGACCCTGGCATGGCCAGAGTTGACATCTTTCCAACCTGGCTCTAATCCATCGTGAGGAGCTCAGCACCAGTCCTAGAGCCACGCACTCCAAAGACCATGTTTGGGTGTCCTGGCTGTCGCTGTCTTCTGGGTGGGGGGATGCTTACAAAGAAGGCGTCTGACTTGTGTCCGAAGCTTACAACCCCTCAGATGGTCCTCTCGGTTAGCACTTCAGAGTCAAACGTAGAGACAGTTAACCCAAGATGCTCTAAATACAAATACACCAACCTTCTTTGAATTATATGCCGCTTATTTATATTCCTTTCCTTTCCTCTAAAAACACGGCTTTGGATATAATGAGTGTTTTGCCCTGAAGTAGATGAATGAAACTTAGCCAACCCCCCAATGTATTCATATATTTACATGATGATTCCTCTGGGTAGGGGCTATGCATCACTAATTACAATTGAAGCCAAAAAGCTAAATGCAGTGCTTGTATATTTTCATTACACAGATTTAATCTATCTAACTAAGTAAGCACAGTGCATCCTGGGATGGGATTTCTTAGTAAATTGTCTTGTCCTTGAATGTCTTCTGACTGCACACGAAATCAGCTTTGAGATCTGTTTGGTTAAAAAAAAACAGCTGAGAAAAGAGGAAACTGGATAACTCTGCAGCCTTGGGAGAGTCGTTTAACATCAATAACTTGGCCTAATGAGTGATAATTCTTTCTTTGTCTTGAGGAGTTGGCTGAACAGGTGATTGCCTCAAATTCTACTTCTCATACAGATGGATCTATAAATTATTGCATGAGCCTCAAGAAGACGCTGTCTCCAAATAATTAAATTTAAGGCCTTTCAAGTTTCAGCATCTGGAACCTTAAATTATAATGAAGTTTAATATTAAGTCTATCATACTATTCTTCAAAAGAATTGTAGGCAATTTTATGTACTATATCTGCACATATAAACATGTGATTGGTTTCAGTTGAAAATATTTTTTAAAGCTGATAAATAGCATCAAGGACCTTTAAGGTATGATACGGAATTATATTATTGGTGATACTTACCTAGACATTTTGGAAAGCTTGTGCTGGCGGCCTAGGAACACAGACACTGAACACTTTGTATGCCTTGCAAATGAATAAACTCGCTGTTCTTTCCTGATCTGTGCTGTTGTCACCAGGGCGTGTTGGTTTTCCTGAGGGTGTTCCTCCCATGCGGCTCTCGTAGAGTCGGGAATTTTTGGTCATGGAAGTGGAGAGGCGGGAGCTCTTGGGCCAAGTGGAATTTGTGGTCAAAATGCTTTCAGAGGGAGGGGAGGGCATTTTTGTTTCATCCTAAACAATGTTTCAAGAAAGTGCAATCCCTTCCTCATGGCAAATATTAAAGTGATTTCTTCTAATCCAGGAGGAAACAATTTGTACACCTGGGCTCTTCTCCACCTTCCTCGGTGTCCACTGAGTGGGGGTAAGGCAGCCGCTCCCACCCAGAGACGCACGGCAGCGAGTCGCGTGCCGGGCTCGGTGTGCTTACTAGACGAGTTCCGTTTCTGTTCCTGTGACAGACCTTTATTGCCCCACGTGTTTATTCTCCCTTTTCTTCCACAGTAATAGAAATTTGGCTCTACATATGGCTGCCGGCGATTTCGCATACATTTCCAAGTGTCCTGTCCAGCTAGGGTGGCCAACTGACCACTTCTGAGTGTGTGACCCAGAAGGGATGCATGGGGTGTCGGGGAGGGTGCCCGTGTCCTGAACCCTTCAGGCTGCCTGGTATCCGCAGTGGTAGTGAGCCTTCTCAGCGTCGAGAGATGGCGGCCCCACAGGGGTGGAGAAGTAACAGGAGGAGTAGACGCCGTCTGTCTGGACTTAGAAAAATTCGGTAAGGACTCAGTACAGAAGGAAGTGTCTGTTGTTCCATCCTAAGGGGCGGTCCACCCTGGGAAACCGCTGGGAAGCAGACACAGCTTTTGAGCAGAGCCTCCCCATCCGCATCCCCCACTGTGTCCCCTTCTCAGTGGCACAAGTCTGGGCTCTTTGGTTTATTTTCTAGCCTTTGATTTCCTTTTCTGCTGACCCTTCTCTCTGTGAAATTACTCTCTTCTAGGAGCTATTATTGCACAGCATCTTAAGAATGTTTATCCCCTGGGATCTCTTTGGAATGTGCACCAGGGAAATAATCAGTAATGCTCATAAAATATTTGATCATATTTGCATACGATGCTTTAAGTAATCAGAATATATAGCTATGCATAATGTATATTTATGTATAATACGTCTTGGGTAGTTACACCAGGGTAAATCTTTTGATGGAATGCTAAGTGGAATGCAAAGCCCCTAAGAAGGTGTAAAAGCACCAGAAATACTGTTCTCTCTCAGTGAGAGCCAGTGATGTAGATTTCAGCCCAGAGCGAAGGTGGAGCTAAAACCATTTTCATCATCACACCAGGTCGGCAGATCCAGAGCAGAGGCTCCATGCAGATTAGAGCTGCGACATGATGGCAGGAGCAGTTTTGGCCTCTGGCTTTCTTCGTATTCAAGCTGTTGTTTTTCTTTGAGCTCTGAACCCAGGAGCCAGACTCTAAGCTATGCTTCACATCGGCAAATACATCCACTAGCAAATTCAGGCTGTGTAAATACAGCTCTGTTCATGTACTTAGGTATTCCCTTTGCATCAGCAGGGAGGGGAGAAATGGTGGCCTTTTATTCAAGAAAGTAGTTTTTTTTCTCACTTCAAAATCTTCATGAAATTCATTCAGCCTACAGTTGCAATCTACAACTAGAAGAAATGTTGTCCCTTTATATTGCCTATAAATAATTTGTTCTTTCTTGTGAGCAGCATAACTGGCCTGTAGAGGAAAAATACTTAGACCTATCTGATTTAAAACTTAATATAATTTGATCTTTTAACAGAACCTTTAAATAATGCATGCTACTGAGAAAATGCTTATTGTCAAGAGTTAGGCAACCTTGTGGGTAAAGGGGTGATGGGTCTGTGGTCACATTATCCTCTCTCCAAATGGATGGGGATGGCCCTGTGGGCACAGGCAACTGAAATTTGTTACTTGCAGCCCTTTTTGACAAACTTGGCCTCAGCTGTGTCTCACCGGTGTTCGGATCTCGAGTTCCTTCCTGTCTTTCATCCAGCTCAGCCACAGTGGCCCCCCTGACTAGCTTCCTGTCCGTGGCCACTGAGGCCCCCTCTGGGGGAACTCTCAGGCCTTACTCAAATGTCAGGGAACTGAAGCAGTCAAGAAACTGGGCGTCAATGTCTCCTTTGCATGATCATTCTGCACCACCTGCTTTATTTGGACGTGACCTTGATCCAGGTTGGTCCAGAGAAGCTCAAGGTCTCAGACAGGGAGGTGTCTGTCCTCCATGATCCCCCCTGCCCAGTGCTTGCAGGTCCAGGGCAGGGCAAAGCCTGGAGAGGGAAATCGGGGACCACGAAGCTCAGCATCTCACACTTCATTTCCTCCCTTAGTAAGCAAATAGCCTCTTGTTTGCCTGCCGGGTTCCGTGTTTCAGAATGGCCTGCATGGCACAGCGGCGGCCCTCCCTGGGGTCTGGGTCCGTCTGGTTTGCTGGGCCCTTGGGGGGTCCTTTCAGTCTGGAGACTTGTGTTCTTAGAAATTTTCTTCCCTTGTTTCCTGGAGGAATCCTGTCCCCGCTTGTTTTCTTTGCTCTTTTTTTATATAGTCTGTCAACCGGATGTTGGACTTACTGGACTGTTTTTCTAATTTCCTGACCTTTTCTCTCACATATTAATTTTTTATAAACTTTATTACATTTTGTAAGATTTTTTTCGACTTTGTGTTCAAAAGCTTCTTTTAAGATTTTCATCTCTGCTGTCAGGTCTCTAAATTCCAACAGGGGCTTTTCTTCCCTGCCTGCCTGCCTGCCTTCCTCCCATTTTCCTCCCCTGCCTCCCTCTCTCATCATTTAGATATTCTTCTCATAAATAATATCTTTTCTTTCTCCTTGGGCAACATGTTATCTTTTTAACACTATTAATCATACCTTTAAAGGTCTTGCTGCAAAGCCTCCAATTTCCTCTAAGGTGGATTTTTTATTCATGTGTTTCATTTGCATTTTCCAGGTAAAATGCTTTCCTCAGGTCCTGGTGTGCTTGGTGGGGGCCTGTGATCGGTGCAGAAGCCTGAGATTCTGTGGGTGCCTTTGCTCTTGTTGCGTGAGGCTCTCCTCTTCTGCGTCACTGCTGTGGACTCCCGCCTGACCTCGCCGTCTCTCTTCCATTTACCCCATTCACTCCTCAAAGTGCAGATCTTATCACAACCTTTGTGTGGAAAATCTCGCACCTCTCCCAAGGGTTGTGGTTAGAGTCGCTAGCAGGCTGAAGTCAGCCAGCATAGCGTTCTTCGATGTCAAGAAAAAAAAAACCCACATAAACTTTTGAGCATAGCGATTTTTAGACAATGAATGTGAGTGCCTGTGGGATCACAGTCCCCGCAACTGTGTGCCGGTCCCACCACCCTCTGTCCCCCTCCAGCTGTAAGGAAGGACAAGTTTAAAGACAGAAGAGGCTCCCCTCGGGAGCTCACAGTCCAGGTGGAGGTGGGCATGCACAGATTACCATCCCCGCGGCCTCACTTCCTGAAGCAGGTGAAGATGGTTAAGACAGGCCAAGGTATGGGTTACTCTGCCTGGGGTGTCAGGATGGTTTCAGAGAGATGGAAACAGAAGAATCTTACATAAAGTAAGTCTAAACACATGTTAAATTGGATTGAAATGAACATTTCTTGTCAAACACCCTGGCTTCTTACTTAGCTCAGTGTCCTCCTATTCAGGCAAATGCTTTCACCCACTCATTTTCATCAGTGAACTGATTTTGAAATTCTTCTGGGCATAAATTAAATACAAAACATCTAATTTGGACCCATGCATTTCATTTGAAGACTGTGCATCTGTCTAAATCTACTTTGCAGGTTTCCATTGTTAATCTTGAGGTTTTTTTATACAAGTAAAGTATTTAAGATGTTTGTATGGTAAACCTGTGGCAAATTGCCTTTGGTTCGATCCCTGCCTATGATTTAGTCGTGCTAGGTCTTTTTTACTATTTCGTTTGAAGATTTAAATCTTAATTCTGTTTAGAGCAAATACATCCCATTTCCACTAGAGGGAGCAGGAGTGCTAATTGTAAGCGTTTCTGCCGAGATAATCACTTCCCTCATTACACACAAACTGTGCTTGGAAAAACAAGCGGTTCCTTTCATTTTTATTTAAATGTCTGCTTTAATGGGAGAACAAAGGACAAGACACGGAACGTTTCTAGGTCAAAGTAGCAGGTCTTTACAAGTGGCTAATTTCTTGCTTCAAGAATTCTAAATACAGCCCTGGGGTCAGAAAAATATTCAAAGAAAAACCTTAGTGATCAGAGAACTCAATCTCTTTCCATAATAGTTGTGGAAAATGAGGTCCATAGAAGGACCTGCCTTGCCCAGGGTCATATAATTTGTTAGCAGCAGATGGCAGGAATAGAAGTAACTTTTGCAATGATTTTTCCAGCGCTCTTTATAATGTAATAGATCGTTAGCATATCTGAGGTGTGTTAGACACACCTTTATATATATATTTATGTACATAAATATGTATGCATATATTTCCTTCCCTGTGAGGTTGATGATGTGAGATTGGCATTAGGGAGCATTCTGAGGCTTTTTTGTAAAACCTCCTCACATCTACCCCCCCCCCCGGTTCCCCCCATAAAACTCTAGATGTAAATGCACTGCTTCTGCCAGCTATGGCTTGTGAATTCTGCAAGGTCCAAGCTCCTGTGATTATTGACCTATCACTAAAATACCATAGTTTAGAAAGCACATCACAAACTTTCCTGTGAAGTCTCCGAAATATTTATTAACAAGTATGACATTCATGGTTGTGTTTACTTTGCCGTACTTGAGGGTGTGTTCCATTTCTCTTAAAATAATCAGGCATCTGGGGAAGCGATCCAGTTTCACTTTTTCCTACACCTGGTCTATGCACAATTCCAAACCTAACGCATTTCGTGTTCATCTTTGAGGTGGGAAAGATTATTTCTGAGTTTTAATTGAAAAAAAAAATACACCCACATCTTCTATTCTGAAGTTAAGGAAAGCCATCAACAAATGTGTACTTGTTTGAAGCCATAAAAGAATATTTCTTTCA